GCTATGTCCAGGGGCCGCCAGGGATCCGCGGAGCCGCCCAGGTCGGCCCGGTGCTTTAGGAGCGTCTCCACGTGGCTGCTTGGCGCATATCTCACGGCGAGGGCCAGCACGTCTTTGTTTTCGGGTCGGTCCAGTTTTGCTTTGGCTTCCAGCAACGTTCGTAGGGCAGGCAGCGACCAGGGTCTGTTCTGGTTCAGCATGAGAAGTTCCAGTCCCGAAGTCGGCGTCGGGTAGAATTGCTGGAAGACGGTGTTGGGGTCCAGTGGCCGCCAAAGTATTTTTTTCAGCTTCGAGGTGTTTCTGTTCCACAGGGCCAAGCGGAAGTCTTCCGACTCCCTCGAGCCGTCGTGTATCTGGACGTAGGGCAGGAAGACGGCCTGCACGGTTGATGTGGCATCGATGCGTAGTCTCCCGCCCTGCAGCCTTCGTCCGGCGTGCAGTAGCCTTATGGTCTGCTTCGGTGCCGGCGTGGCGCAGCAGTACTCCCCTACGTACGTCGCCAGCTTCCTTGCTGTCCGATGCCGCCGTGCGTCTGTTTCGCCCAGGAGTTCTCCACTCAGCATGGTGATGCGCAAAGGCCCTGGCGACGATGCTTTCTTCAGTGTTCGTCGTGCAAACGGCCCCGGTCTGGGAGTCTTCGTCCTCGCAGCATCGGCCATGGCGTGTCCGGGGTGCTCTGCGGTTGTAGGCACCCGCGTGCTTTAGGGTGACCGGCCCTCCGTACGTTTGTGGGACCTGCTCGCTACAGGTGCTGCTATGCGTGTGAGTACATCGTTCCTGTGGCTTTGCCGTCGTGCCGGGTTGCTTGTCGTTGAGCTGTGAGCCTGTTGCCGCCTTGCTGACTTGCTGCTGGCGAATGGTGGCCGCGGCCCGAGGTGTCCGGTCGCGCTCTTGCCTGGGCCGGCTGACATATGACTGCGAGCAGGCCTGCGTGTGTCTGGTCGTGCAGCGGCTCCAAGTCTGGCTTGTGCGGTTCGGCGAGTGCTTTGGCGCCTATGCTGGGCATGACCGTGCGCCTGCTGCCGGCTCTCTCCTTTTTTTGCCTTGCTGCGGCTCTTCTGGTCTCCGGGGGTGCTGTACATCGTGCGCTTGCCGCTCGGTCCCCTAGTGTAGCTGGTGCTCGAGACGCTGGTGCTCGGCCGGCCTGTGCACACGGCACCTACTGCCTTTCACTTACGTCTACGAGTCGATGCACGTGGCCCGGGCTTGGGGCTCGGCGGCCTTTTCGGTTTCCGGCGGCTGGCTTCCTTCCAGTGGACGACAACTTCCACGTGTGCCATCTGGGCGGTGATGCTGTGCTCGAGGATGTTGCTCCAGCTCCAGTCGTCTGTGATCACGTTCCCGTCTAACATCAGCTTGGTGGCATGCAGGTCGATCGGCCCGGTGCTGCTGCTGTCCAGGTCGTGGAGCAGGACTTCTCGGGGGCTGCGATGCCGTAGCACCTCTGCGGGCGGGGGCTTGTTGGTGTGCTGCCGTATTGTGCGCAGCTCCGGGAGGGATAGAAACCGGTCCCGATGGTTTCCTGGTTGCAAGGGGGCCTGCTCGCGAAAACGGTAGCTTGGGTAGGGTCTCGAGGTGTGGAGTTCACCGCCTTTTGCGTCCGTGTAGGTCACCGTCATGTTCGGCATGATTGCGTCCTCGAAGCTCTGGATGTCTTCGTCGGTCTGTCTCTGCATCTTCTTGCGGCTGCTCTCCATTTCCGAGTTCTCGTAGTCGTCCGTGAAGCACACCTGGTCGGAGTCGCGGGTGGAGGGGTTCGAGGAGGGGGATTCCTCGTCCATGTCGTCGGACATCCTGGTCGTGGCGGTCGGCCTCAGGAGCACCGGTTGCTGGACGCCCGCCGCGTTTCATCTGCGGCGACGTGCGCGTGCTGAGGTCTGCGCGGGAGCACGGGCGAGCGCAACCGTTCGAGAGAAGATGCTGCGGCGGCCGCGTGCGAGGAGATGCTGTTGGGGCGGGATGTGTTGGGCATTCGTGCAAGGCTACCTCGCTGGCATGCTAGCCGGGTCTGTTTGGGGTTCGACCTGTGCGCTGTTTTCCTTCTGCCATCCCTCGCCATGGTCTTTGCAGCGAATCGTGCCCGCTGGCTCGTGCGGGTCCGTGTTCTGCCTGGGCGGGTGCCCTGCATGCCGATCCAGCCCGTCCCGCAGCTTGCTAGCCAGCCAGCCAGCCAGCCAGCCAGCCAGGCACGGTTTTTTCGGTGTCGCATGTAGGCTCTCCGTTCAGTCTGTCCCCCACGGTCTCGGCCGCGACCTGTGCTGCTTTTGCTTGTCTGCAAAAGCGATCGGCCTCCTGGTGTCGTGTCTGCTTTGGAGCTGCTATTGTACCGCATGGGCGATGCTGATGGCCGGTGTCGGCGCTGAGGAGCTGTGCTCGCGGTCGGTCTGGGCGGTCGGTGTGAGTTTCGCCGCTTCCTTGTTTGCCTGGTTGCGGCGCCATAGTTGTTGGTCTGCAAGTGCTTCCTGCATGTTTCTTCTGCCTGCGTTCCCGAGTGCTCTCTGGAAAAGGAGCTTTGCTGTTGATGTGGGCATCGCGTCCGGGTTTCCCGGCTCCGCTAGCAGCGGGTTGCAGCGGGCCTGGAGGAGCATCATCACGTTTGTCGTATGACCTCCCCATGCGGCCAGGGCGAGCGGTCTGCGTCGGTTGGCGTTCGGGGCTTCCATGTCGGCCCTGGCATTCAAGAGCTTGCGTACTATCGCGGTACTGCTCTTGCGTGCTGCTGCTGCGAGGGCCGTTGTACCATTGCGGTTGCGCGTTTCCAAGTGGCAGCGGGCTGCGATCAAGAGCTCCACTGTCCCTTCTTGTTGTCGCTGTGCTGCCTGCAGCAGCAGGCCGTGGTCTTCGTCCGTGTTGGCGTTGACCCGAGCTTCGAGCAGGAGTTTCATGTTTTCCGTGCGATTTGCTTTGGTTGCGGCTTGCAGGGGCGTCGTCGTGGGGAACGTCTTGATGCAGTTCGGGTCCAGCGGGCGGCTCAGGAGTTGCTCTAGCCTGAACGTGTTGGAGCTTCGTGCGGCCGCGATCATTTCTGCCGTGGTTTTGTGGTCGGCCTGGGTGTACTGTAGTTTGATCATCTGCAGGTCGGCGGGGGCGGATATGAGAGCCTCGTCGTCCAGGGGACCGTCTGGCCCCAGCAGTTTCTGCCGAAAGCGTGGGAGTCCTGTCTCTCTCTGTAGCCGGCCTTTGACCACTCGCGCTTGTTCCGGCGCCTCGAGCGTGGCTTCCAGCAGTTGTTGACCGGCAAGATTGACCACGCGTAGGAGAAGGAGCTCCTGGCTTTTCCGCTTCGTGGAGCCTACGCTTGCGTCCTCTGAGGGCTGCAAGGCCATGGCCGCCGATCGCTTCCGCTCGGATTCGAGCCCTGTTGCTTGCGGCATTGTTTGGGGCGTCGAGGGCTCTTGGTGTGCCTGTCCGCCAGCTCTTCGTCGTGCGGTTCGTGCTCGCCTCCGTCCTATCTTTCTTGCATGCGGTGCCTCTGTGACCACGCTCGCACTTTTTCCCTCCTTTTGGCGCCCGAGGCTTGCGAGTGTCCGGCACTAGTCTGTGTGTTCGTCCCGCACGTTGTCGTGCACCCTGCTTCTGTCCTTTACGAGGTCTGCGATCTCCTTGTCTAGTAGCTCGACCTGCTGCACCCACGGTTCCTGGCCGTTGTCGGGGTGCGTTCCAACGATGTACATCTCTGTCACGATCTTCCGGTAGTGCCTCTGCAGGATCCATCGGTACATGTTGATCTGCAGGTGGTAGTGGGTGAGGCTGCTGTCGCCCAGGTGCTGCAGAGGGGGTTTCATGTAGCGGTTGAAGTGCTCTCCTCGGCTTGCTATTCTGCTGCTCCGCTTCCAATCCACGAGAGCCAGGCTGCCGTCGGCCTGCTGTAGGACGAGGTCGATGCTGCCGGCTACGTCGATGTCGTCGGCGTAGATCTTCCATTCCGTTCTGTAGGCCGTCGCGTGTCGCACGCTGTCTAGGAACTTGAAGAGCAGGCTTATCTCCGGTGTCATCGCCTTGACAGTCCCTCCGTTCAGCAGGCACTCGAACTGGGCGTGCATCCACGTCCCTTCTTTGGCTGCTTTGTCGCGGGCGGCTTCCCATTTTCGTTTCACGTCGTCACTCGGCATAGCGAGGGCGCGCAGCGCGGCTGCGTGTGGCGGGCCTGCCTGCTGGAGGGCCTCCTGCAGTTCTCGGTCCAGTTCCCCGTCGTCCTGGTCGCTCTGTTCGAGCATCGCCAGGATGCGGGGGCCCCTGGCCAGTTGGCCGATCTTGTCTCTCACGTCCGGTGGCGGGGTGATGCTGAGGTAGCCGGCTCTGGGCCAGTGGGCGCCTTCCATCATGTTTTGGAGCGTCTTGTCCGCGTCGAATCCCGCGGCGTATCCGTGGATTACCTGCGTCACGGACTCTCGCACGCGTCTGGTCTTCCAGAAGTAGGTGTGTGTTGTCTCGTCGAAGCGAAGGTTCACATCTCTCGTGTGGGCGTTCACGTGCTGGAGCCTGTCCGCAACGAAGTTGCCTGGTAGGTCTGGCGGCAATGGTCCTTCTCCGCGAGCTGGGAAGTCTGTCGGTGCGTTTGGGCTTCTGACCAGGTTGAGCGGCAGCAGGTGATCTAGGCCCTCGGTGAGCAGGCTGACCTTGTGCTCTTCGTGCTGGGGCTCCGCGTCTGCGTTCTCCGTCTCCGTGCTGGACTGCTCGTGGCAGGGGACGTCGGCCTCCATGTGCTTTGCGTGGGCGATTGTACGGTGGGGCCGTGGTGGCGTGGCAGTGCGCGGAGCTTATGGCGGCGGCGGCGGTGCTGGGTGGTGCCGTCGCCTGGCAGGCCTCCTAGCTACGGTGTCTTTGCGTCGAGGGCGCGGCTGCCTAGGTCTTATTCTGGCCCTGGCGCTGTCATGCGTGCGGCGCCCTTCCTCTGCTGGCCCTGCATCCTGCCCCGCGGCCGCCCTTTTTTCTGTCTCTCGCGTGCTGTTGCCCATTACTGTACAGTCTGCGCTAGCTCTCAGGGGGCTGTGCCGGCGCTAGACTCGGTGCAGGCTTATGCTGGGTTTTTGCCCGGGACAGCCGTCGTGCTCGTAGTTCAGCATGATGGGGACGTAGCACGGGATGCTGTAGGATTGCGGCCTTGGCCGGGCTTGCGAGCTTTGCGGTTGGGGCGGGCCGTCTGCTGCCAGCGGCTGTGCCCGATCCCCTTCTGCTCTGGCGCTGCTTGCTGGTTCTGGTGGCGCCAGTACTGGCTGCCACTTGTAGACGAGCTCGAACCAGGTTCGACACGGGAAGCGGTGGTAGCGGCATCGTTCTTTGAGGGTGTCCTGCCACCACTTGAGCTGTTCTTGCTCCAGCTCGTGGTACATGACTGCCTGGACGAATTGCTGGACTTCTTCGTGTAGGCTGTAGTAGTAGGCTTGCCCGTCAGGTTGCTGCGGCTCGCCTTCGGTCGCAGCAGGCGCGGTGTTTCTGGGGCTTGGCGCTGGGCTTCTGAGGCCGATGCTATATGCAGGGTCCTGAGGCAGGGGCTCCGTGCCGCGTCGGCGCCGGCCGCGAAGTGTTGGAGTGGGATCGTCTGGTGTTGCGTGGCGTCGGAAAAGGTCCTGGTGGCGTTCCTGAGGCTCGAGCAGACAGAGATGCGTTCGCTCTCAGGGGCCGCCTCTCGCCTGAGAGCCTTGCCGCTGCTGGCTCTCTTTCTTGCGGCTGCAGCGTGTCTTCTGCTCCGCCATCCACTTCTGGGGCTGCGAGGCTTTCACGTCGTTCTCGGCCTGTTGCTCCTGGCGGCTCGTTTCTCTTCTGCCCTCTGTTCGCAATGTCCTGCGTCTCTGACGTGCGGTTCCGTCCGCGGGTCCTCGCTGGTCCGTGCCGATGCTGCGGACGTTTTCTCTGCCTGATGAGCGAAGCTCGCTTGCCGAGGCTGCGTGTGCGGCCGATGGAGCTGGGGCGCGGGCAGTCTCCGTGTTGCTGCTATCCTTGGCACGGTGCAGTCGGAGGTGCTTATTAGGCCCCCGGGTCTCTGTTGCCGTCCTCCATGTCTGCCCACGGCGTCCGTCGGGGCATGGCGCGGCTGCCGTGTTCCTTGCGAGTCATGCCGTGCTGGCTGGACTCGGGGCCTGTGCGCTCTCGGCTACCCGCCCTGTTATGGGTCAGAACAGCTGCGGTCGGTGCTCCTCATGTCGTGCTTGCCTCTGTGTCCTGTTGTCGCAGGGCCGCGCCGTGCCTCTCGCCATCTGCACCGGGCTTTTTGTCCGTGCTCAGGCTCGGCGTCGTAGCTCGGGCCGCGGGGTTCGGGCCGCTTTGCCTGGCGAGCTCACTCCTGGTGCTTTCTGAAAAGACCTACCGCTTTGCGCTCAGTTGTACTGGCCGGCGATTTCCATATTGGTCATGGAAGTGGGAGAGCTGGCACGCGGCGTTGGCGCTTCCGGCGGGGCATGGCCTCGCCTGGAGATGGTTCGACGGCCTTATCTTCTGCACCTTCGCCGCCCTCTGTCCGATCTCGCAGGGCGTTGTCTAGGGTCCCCGGCGTTTTGTGGTTCTTTTTGCGGGGGGTTTCTCTTCCGGCCCGTTGCGGAAGACCTCCCAGGATTTTGAAGTTGGGGGGCGGTAGAAGTCTCTTGGCTGTGCTAGCGGGACGACGTCCGTCAGCAGCAAGCCGTACAGCGTGTCGTCCTGGTTGATTCGGCCCACGTGCCGGTGCTGATCCCTGGTGCTTTCGAAATCCTCCGGTGCCAGCTTCCGGCACTCGCTAATTGTTGCGGAGCCGTATAAGCGGCCGGCGTAGCCCAGCCAGATGGGTCCTGGCGGCGCCGGACTGCTGCGGACTTCCATGGTCTTCCATCCATTCAGCAGGAGCGCCAACCAGGCTTCTTGCGTCACCATGATCCGGTCTCCGAGCGTCGGTGTCTTCTCTGGAGTCGTCTTCTTTTCTTCGTCATCCATAACGTCCTGTTGCAGCGTCACCTGGGTGTCGGGGACGCGGCACCCGCTGCTTTCGCGGCTTCCGGGGTTTTCCGGGGCTTCCGGGGCTTCCCCTGCGGCTTCTTCTTTTGTGGACGGAGGCGCTTGCAGCGTGGCCTTCGCCGTCGCGGTCAGCTCGTCGTCTTGTTGCGGGGCTTCTGCCTGTGTGTCCTCGGTCGCGGCAGTGGTGCTCGTAGCTTGCCACGACCGAAGCTTGCTGTCTCTGGGGTTCCGGCGGCGGTCGTCGGCTGCGTGGGACGGCAATCCGGCGCTTGCTCCTTCGGTGCGGGTGGCAGGCTTCCGGGACATGTTGTGCCCGCCGTGGCGGTTCTCGTCGCTGCTTCTGCCTTGGATCGGGCGGCTTGGCTTGGCTGGCTTCAGCTTGCTGCTCGGGAGCTGTGTGCTGTCGCAGGATCTTTTCCCGAGCATAGAACCATCTTTACTCCGAGTCGCCGATTTCACGGGAGCCATGGCGTTAAGGTCTTTCTTGGCGAGATTCTACCTTGATGGCTGGTTTGTGGCTGCGGGGACGCGCTGTGGTTGCGTCCGATCGCGGGTTGCAGCGTGTGCGCTGTGTCTCCCTGGTCGCATCCATGCGCGGTGAACCAAACTTCATTTCGGCTTTTCCTGTTCTGGCGAGGAGACGGTTGCTCTCTTCTGTTTGCCGGCGCCGCCGCGTCTATTTCACGGGCTTCCGGCGTGCTGCTGCGATGGTCCCGATTGTGTTGCGCATGTCGCTTTCGGAAGCCTCCAGCAGGGCGATCTGCGCTTTCCGAAGTTCCAGCCGGATGGAAGGACTGGCGAAGGTGTTGCTTGTCGAGATCATGCGGGCCGGATGTTGTGCGTGGTGGGCCGCGATCTGGATCATGCCCGCTTTGGCCTCTTGCGTGTAGCTCGCGGGACAGCCGTCGGCCTTCCAGCTTCGCCACCACGTTTGGCAAGCCTGGTGCCAGAGCTCTGCTTGGAGTCGCTGATGCAGTCCTGGTTCGAGGTGCCAGTGTAGCACGATGCGTAGAGCCCGGTCTCGTGGACGGGCGTCCGGTGTCCGCGGTGGATGCTGTTCGCCTGGGCATTTGGGGTGTATGGTGCTCTTGTTCGGTGCGGCTGAATCGTGCTGCCCGGTGGCCGACTTCCTCGGCTGTTGCAGGGCAGCCGTTCGCCGTTAGCTTTGCCGCCTTGTGTGGCTTGTCCTTGGATGCAGTCGGGTCTTCGGACTTTGGGGCTTGCGATCGCTTATAGCCCGGGCACTGGTTGTGCCTCTTCCATGACCGGGCGGGCGCTGCTGCCCTGCGGGTTGCGCCTTCTTTCTGCTGCTCGTGCCAACGGTGCTGCGGTTGCGGTTCTCGGCGTCGTGGTTGCGTGGCTATGCACTGCGAGTGCTCGGCACACAGCTGCCTTTTTTCCTCGCCTCCTGCAGCGGCGTCCGGTGCCGGAGTCTGTCCGTGTCCCTCCTGGCTCCTACACTGCTACGCTTGCCAGGAGCCGATGCCGTCCCACACGAGCTGGATTTCGCTGGTAAAACCCCAGGCTGCCAGGGGAGGTCTTCGGGTGAAGTCCTCTCCGCACATCGTGTAGTGGAGAACGTAGTAGTTGAACTGCATGCATTGTCTTCCGCCTCGTCCGTAGAGCTTTATGCCGGCTTCGCGCTGTGCGTCGTAGGCGTCCTCAGGCGCCGCTGTGCCGGACCGCCAAAGGTTGAGGATGGACCGGTAGTGAAACCAGCCCAGATTTGCGTACGTCCAGTTCATCTGTCTCATCACCTGCCCGAATCGTCGCTGGGTCTCTGTGTCTGGCTCGATTGCCGCTTTGAGGAGCCACTCTCGCATGAGGGCCTTTGGTGGGCAATTCTCCCTGCACAGGAAGCCTTGCAGCTGCGCTCTTTCCTCTTGTATCAGGCGGGCCATGTCTTCGTCTTCAGGCACCGGTGGTCTTGCGAGGGGCCCCTCGCAGATCTCTTGCCGGGGGGACTCTGATTCTGGTGGGCAGCGGAAGATGCCGTCGTTTCCGCGCTCTTTTTTTTGCTCTTCGTCTTCTTCTTCCCCTTCGCTGCTGTCCTCGTCGATCTCGCGGGAAAGTTTCTTCTCATCTTGCTCTCCGCCTCCTCTGTTCGCTTCGTTGATGATCTCCAGGATGCGTAGCCAGTGCGCGGTGGAGTTCTTGCGGGCCATGCTTTCTCTGGGACTTCCACTGCGCTGCTGGTGCGGGCTTGAGCCTTGGCTTGTCGCTGTCTCGAGGAGGTTGCGTTGCTGGCCTGTGCTGATGTCGCTAGCTCCTGCAGGCTTCTGTTCGGCGAGAGTCTATCCGGTGCGCCTTTTTCTGTTTGCCTCCGTGCCGACGCCTGCTCTCAGTGTGGGCAAGTGAGGGGCAGTGAGGAGGGGGGGGGGGGGGCGGGCGGGGAGGTGGCTGTCGCCGTGTCCTTGCTGTCCTGGCGGGCCCGCTGCCGGACGGCTTCTGTACACTTGGCCACTATATAGGCTGTCCGGGCCGGCCTTCGCTTGGCCTTTCGGCCTTTTTCCGGCAGGTCGCTGCTCGCTAGTTTGACCTCTCGCCTAGGTGGACGGACGGTTGTTCTAGCAGCCAACTGATCAGGGGATCCTGCTCAGTGTCTGTGTTGTCAATCAGGTACACCGGGATGTGCAGCAGGACCTTCTCCAGGATGCTTTGAAGCTTGGCCTTCTGGTCTTCGGAAGGCTTCAGCTGCACGTGCCGGACGTATTCGCTCTGTGTGCTGTCCGGGATTGGGACGGTGCCGCCCTGGATGTTGGCGGCGTCGAAGAGCTCGCGGAGGCCGTAGATGCCCCCGAAGAACATCACGTCGTATGCTCGGCGGCTGTGCTGGCCCTCGGGGACTTCTGTTGTCTCGTCCTCCGGGTCTTGCGTGGGCGCGGTCGTGGAAGCCGCCGGCTCCACTTGTAGCAGGACGTGTCGGCGGCCTCGGGGCGGGAGCGCCTGGAACGGACGCTGCTGCAGCCTGTGCGCGTCGTGCACCACCCACGGTACGGGCACGCTCGCGGTTGCTTCTCCGGGGAACAGGGCGATGAACTGCGGCAGCTGCGCGATCTGTCCGGTCGTGACTTTGTGGCGCATGATGAAGGTGATGAGTTCGAGGCCCTCTTCTGGCGTGGGGGCGTACAGGACGGGCTGCCAGTCTTGTAGGCCGACTCCGTCGGGATCTGAGGGGCCGGACAGCGGGGGTGCTCCCATCAAGATCCTGATGTGTTTCTGGGCTTCCAGTTGTTGAAGGTCCCTGATGTCGTCGTCGGGATGCTGTTGCAGGGCCTCCCTGCAAGTTGGGAGCAGGCTGTACCCGAAGCCTCCTCGTCCCCCGTGTACAACTTGGATTTGCCACAGCGGCTGCGAGCTGGTTCCGTTCTCGAAGATTCCGAGGGTGCTTCCCCAGCGCCGCACCGTGGCCACGAGCTCGGTGCCGTCTCCGTTCGCGGCGGCGTCGGCGGACCTGCCGAGTGCTCGTAGCGTGATTCCCCCGGCGCTGAAGCGTTTCTTCTTCTTGTTCGCGGCGGTGCCGGACATGGGTCTCTTGTCTGCCATGGTGCTCCGGTGCCGGGCTCGGCTTTGCTGTTCGGGCGGTGTCGAGAGCTTTGTTGTCTTGAGCCGAACGAGGCGTGGGCTGCGAGTCCGTGCGGGGCTGCCCTGGCATGGCGTTGGATTACCGTGCTGTCTTTTTGATTCACATCCGGTACAGCTTCCTCAGCAGCTGGTTCCATGGCGCCTCTTTTTTGTGGCTTTGCGCCGCCTCGCACCTTGGTGGCTTGCATGGGCACTGGCGCAGGTCGTGCTAGCCGGCCTGCTCTCGGGTTTGCTGAGTCCGGGACTGCCGGGTGAGGAACCAGCACGCGTCTTGCCAGAGGTGCGGCCGTCGGGGTCGTCGGGGGCTTGCGGTCGTCAGCAGGCTCAGCAGCAGACGTCGGAGGGACTTGACGTCGGTGTACTCGTGCTCGTTCGGCCAGTGCTGCTTGATGATCTGGACGCGCTTGGGGCGTGTGGTCTGCTTGCGCCGGGGGCCGTAGGGTTTGGACCAGTGGCTCCAGCGTGGCGTTCTCGGCCTCCATGCCCCTCGGGGCCGTGTGGCGGTGGTCTGCTTGCGCCGGGGGCCGTAGGGGTTGGACCAGTGGCTCCAGCGTGGCGCTCTCGGCCTCCATGCCCCTCGGGGCCGTGTGGCGGTGGCCTGCCAGGAGGTCTTCATGCTGCTGTCGGCGGATTGTTGCTTGAGCCTGGTGTCTGCAGGGTTCCGTGGCCGTGAAGCCGGACGTGGCAACGGGGCTTCGGGGCGTGGTCCGGGCATACGCTGCTCTGCGACCTTTTTTCTTGGCGCCTGGTGCTTTCGGGCTTCGCGCGTAGCGGGCCGGACCTGTCTGCCTTATTAGCTGACCTACCCAGCTGCGCTTTCTCTGGGCCTGCTGGCCTGTGCGTCATGCTGCCTCTGCTGACCTCTCGCCTAGATATACAGAGGGCTGCTTCAGGAGCCACTGCACGAGGGGGTCGCCTGCTTGGTTCGTCTGGTCGATGAGGTAGACAGGGCTTCGTAGCAGCACTTTTTCGAGGATCGTTTCGAGCTTGTGGAAGCTGTTCTCCGACTGTGTTAGCGTGAGGTGCCGCACGTACTCGTCCTTGGTTGCATCGGGTTGAGGGACCAGGCCGCCCTGGATGCGGGCGGTGTCGAAATGCTCGCGGAAGGTGTAGATGCCGCCGAAGATCATGACTTTGTAGTCCATCTCGGCATTTCTGATTGCCGGGCTTTTCGCTTCTTCTTGGCTGCTTGGCGTTTCTTGGGCGGCCGCGATGCTGCATGGCTCTTGCTCCGGCGGGGCCAGTTCTACCTGCAAGAGCACGTGGGGCCGGCCTCGTGGCGGGAGTGCCTTGAAGGGTGCTGCCTGCAGGACATGCTTCTTCTTGACTACCCATGGTGAAGGGACCGCCACGTTGTCTGGCCCCTCTGGGAAGAGCGCAAGAAGCTGCGGCGTCTGCAGGAGGTGTCCCGTGCTGACTTTGTGCGGCATGATGAAGTGTATGATGTTCATGCCGTCCGCTGGGGTCGGCGCGTAGATGACCGGCTGCCAGGCCTCGAGCCCGACTCCGTCTGGATCTGCTGCCCCGTTGTGGGGCGGCGCTCCGTTGAGGATCTTGATGTGCAGTTCTGACTCGAGCTGAAGTGGGTCACGGACTTTCTCGTTGGGGTGCCGTTGGAGGGCCTCCCTGCATACCGTCGTCAGGTGGTAGCCGAAGGCGTGTCGGCCGCCGTGCGTCACCTGCAGCTGCCAGAGAGTCTCTGTCTTTGATCCGTCGTCGAAGACCCCGAAGGTGCTCCCCCAGAGTCGGATGGTCGCGACCAGCTCGGACCCGTCGCCGTTGCTGTCGCTGGCTGCCGAGCTGCTTGGCGTGGTAGATGTAATGGAGGTGGCGCTGAAGCGTCGTTTTTTGCCGGCATAGGGGTTGCCGTCTGCTCTTGTCGCCATGGCGTCGAGCTCTCTGCTACGCGGGGGTGTCGGTGTGACTGCAGGGTCTCTCTTTACCTGGCGCGGCCGCGGCGTCTGGCGGCAGGTGCCACTTGTGCGCTTCACTCTTGATGCATCTGCTGCAACGGGGCGGCCACGGTCGTGCTTTTGCGGCGAGCATCCGTCCTCTATATAGTCGGTGGGGTGAGACTCGCCTGCTCGTTCTCCTGTACTGCCTGGCCGTGGTCTCTGCTGTGCAACTCTGTCATCCTGGCTCTCTGTTCTGCTAGCTCCCTGGCGTGTCGCTATGTTATGGGGTCCGGTTTGTCGTTGTTGCCTTTCGGAGCTATTCTTACACTGCTACTGTGCCTTGTGGTTGTCGGCAGTCCCTGTTTGCTGGGGTGTCTGCTTGGCAGCACTCGGGATCTTCTCGGGCTTTGCGGGCGGCTGGAGCCGGCCTTGTGGTTTGGCTGGCTCACTGCGTCCCTCGCGGCGGTGGATCTAGTCTTCGGGTGTGGCCGGGCGCTGTAGTGCCAGGAGCTTCGAGTGAATGCGCTTCACATGCCGGCGATTTTTGCAGTGGCACCGCTCCGGGGTACATCCCTTGTCTTCCAGCTGCAGCCTTGCTTGGATGCCCGGCGGCAGGCGATTCAGTAGCTCCTCCACGTCGATGTGATTGAATTCTAGCCTCAGCCAGGAGCACATGCTGCCGATCTGCGTCCCAGTGCTGCTGGGTCTGTTGTCGCCGAGCTGAGGAAGTAGGGCTCGTGTCGCCCCTGTGGAGAGGCGGTTGTGGCTCAGGTGCAGCTCCTGTAAGGTCTCGGCATGCTTGTCGATGAAGGCCGCGAGGGGTTCCAAGCACCGTATGTCGTTGTGGTGCAGGTACACCGCCTGGACTTCTCCGCCGATCGCCTGGAGGAGCTCGGCGGCATCGTGCTCGTTGAGGTTGTTGTGCTCCAGGTGTACTCGCAGCGGGGCCTGCGGCGGTCGCCACTTTCGTAGGGCCTGGCTCCAACGGCGCACGCTCTCCTTGGTCTGCAGGGTTCTGGCGAGGTAGACTAGGCCGGTTGGCCGGAGGCGATCGGAGTCTGCCGGTGTCAGGGAAGCCATGGCTGATCGAATTGCGGAGGGGGCCACGTGACGTCTGCTGCTTTGCCAGAGCCGGCGAGAACATGTGCGTGCTGCTGGCGGTCTATCGGATGGCTTGCCTATAGGCGTGTCGGCCTGCGGGCGAGCGCGTGCGGTTGTGCTGAACGGGCTTTTGAAATCGATCGGCCGATGGCATGCCGTGTTCTCGTTGGGTGAGACTTCGTGATTCCCGCCCCTGGGGTGCCTGGGCTGCTCACTCCCCGCTCACGAGCTCAATGGTGATGTGCGAGGTACGCCATTGCTCTTGTCCGCAACCTGGATCTTCCGCTCTTTGCAGTGCCTCGCCCAGGGTTAAGTGCCAGTCCAGTATGGTCTCGACGCCTTCGTCGTCGTCGCCGCGGTACACGTAGACCGGCGTTCGGACTTCTTCCAAGTTCCTGGTGCAGGTCCTTTGCTTCTTTTTTGCCTGCTCTGGGACCGTGGCTTGCACCTCGCGCCGCCTGCTTGCGCGCTGGAGGTTGAATGAAATCGATGCCACCTGGCTGGCGGGGTGCTGTATCGCGTGGCTGAGGAGCTGGCTCGCCGGGCATCGTGGCGTCAGTGGCGGCAGCTCTTCGTGCTTGCCA